CTGGATATCCGGACGCATCGTAATTTCAGTATTCGAATCCCCTAAAAAGTAAGAAAACGTTAAACATATCCCTTTCTGTAAATATCCAGCTCTAAAAGTCTGTCTAAACCCTAAACGTGCTTCAACCCTCCCGACACCTGTAGACTCTAGCTAATGTGATATATCACGTGATTTGGAAATCACAAGTCATGTACACGGTAGAACGTATACACAGCCATTCAGAGCGATGAGGTATCGAGAACGATGCTGAGTTCAGTCTTCTGGAACTTCCCGTTTGAAGTAACAGAAAACAAAAATAATTTATTTTGCTGAGTCTATCATGAATAGTATGTTTTACGATGTTGAAATCTCAGAGACTGAAATTGGTGTAGAAGACTCAAGGTTTGTTTTATTGCACAAATACTCCAACTGGAGAGACTGTCGTCCTTTTGAATCCAGACCGTTCGATTGGTGCACTACGTTTTGGGCTTCGCGCATGTTTGTATGTAACGACTAGGGTTGACAAAGTCCTTGTATCTAAAATTATCGTTCTGTTTTTAAGTAGAATACTCGAACTTTCCCTTCTTCGCTCTCGCGTTCGTCTTGCCTGCAGAGGTTCTCTTTATGCGTCTCTTTTGCCTTTCTAGATTGCCCATAAGTTAAGGCTTTTTTAATGGTGCGAGCCGCCCCAGTTCTTTGTAGACTGCTTCTGTGCACACCACTGTTACAATTTTTCTGGTTTTCACATTAAAAGGTAATAGGACACCGGTTAGAATTATCTGCTTGGCATACACTTAAGTGTTTGAAGTTATTGCGAATACACTAAACGTTTTCTGTTAAGGTTTTCTCACACCTCTTTAGCTTCCCATGCCTACATCTACTTTTGTCTGATCTCATTTTCTCCAGACACCACTTTTACAAACTTTTTACTCCCACCTAAGCCGTATCAATTGTTTTCGAATGATAATAAATCATGAAATATGGCCTGAGACGTGCTCAAGGTGTGCACATATTCATGCTAAGCGCGTAATAATCCTTTTTGAAGTAAACGTGCGGGTAATATTATGAGGCATGCCATTGATAAATATTACGTATATTAACGCGCATGCTTCTGATAACCGTTTTCCAGTTCACGCACCCTGTGACTGTTCGAGTAACACTTGGTAATAACGACTAGTATATTAACTGTTGTTTATTTCCGTCACAAGCGTTAGAAAAAGGGAAGGTAGTCGGACAATAAGGTACCTATTGTTGTCAAGAGGTCCGACCTTGGACATTTTCGGGGGTCGACCACGTCGACAATTTAGTCGAATTAGTTGGATCCTAGCTTGCTTCATTATAAAGTCCGTTTAATAAACCGTTGGACTGTATTAGGTCAAGTATTCGCGCTTTGACTGGCTTCTTGTTGCGTCCTCGCCTACTCACGGTTTTTTACCCGAAAGTCAAACGTTGTCAAGCTGCGAGGCAGTCCGATTCCTATAAATAATTTGTTTAGCTTCTGGTCAAAAATAATCGCGATGCCTATAATGCGATGTAGCAACCTGAAAGATAAGAACGCCAGAAATCGATTTTTTGTTTCTGCATTAATGCGGGTTTTGAGTTCTTACTTTTTATTCACTCATGGCGATTTTTCAGCGCTGTGCTTGCACACCGTGGGCACTGTTCTTAGCACCAAAAAGGACTGCTGAGTTGAGAGGTGAAGTAGACAATCTGAGTTTACGACCAAGTCATTTAGGATGTTCCTCCTTTTTTTAATAACATTTGGCTAACGCTGTCCAGTCTAATACCCATCATTTATTTAAATGCCTTTTTGCCCTCTTCTCACAGATCGGGACATCTACTTAATTGCTCGTTCCATCAAAGCTATGGACAGGTCAGCGTCCAGGAATGCTTAGTAGATTATGATGTAATGCTTCTGGCGGAGAACCCAAACTTGATTACTCTTATGTATCCCTATTCAACCTCATTTGGGCCGCACGCCTCTGAAACCACTGATTCTGCTTTATCCCACACCGCACCGCCCCAGCAGGTTCCCCCTCCTGTTACTGCTACCTTAATTTATGCCCAACCGACCTCACCACTGGCACTCCCTCAGCGCAGTGGTGTCACTCACTTTACCCAACACCTTTACAATACACCACAGAAGTCTACGACACCACGAAGTTTCCTTGCAACGAACGGCAGCCCAGATCTTATGTCAGTATCGATGCAGGCCTCATCCAACACCTTTCAAGGGTGGCCCCCGCCGGTTAATGCGAATAACAACAGCAACGGAAGTAGCAACAATTCTGGTTCTCGGTTTCCCCAACCGCCTCGTCGAGGTCCGTCCTCATTAGCGGCTCAGCCAGTCGGCCTAAAGACGGACTTCTCCTCTGCCATCGCTCCTCCTCAACCATCCCATCTCTTCCGTCCACATCCCCACCTGGCTGGTGTCAACCCTTGTCCTGGAGCCCCAAACGCAAATTTGAACGGTGTAGATACAACCTCTTTTGCACACATAGACCCCTCAAAGGGCTACGGGTGGAGACGCAGTCAGTCGACCAACTGGAAGGAGAGGCCGCATGTTGGGAAGTACAGTCTCATTCGTACGATAGGAAAGGGAAATTTTGCCAAGGTCAAACTAGCGCAGCATGTCACGACTGGGATGGAGGTACGTTGTTGTTTGTATTTACTAGCTCCAGGTGACTTGTAGATAAAGATGTGGACCCAGTGAGGTTGCTATGACCTCTTTCGACTATGTTAATAAGAAAGTGAACTTGGCTGACTGTTTCTCTTTGTACCGTGATCATACCGGGTCTAATAAGTCTCACCCACCTGAACATCACCCATGTTCTTATGCATGTCCAGCCTGCTTGCTGGCCTTTTTCGAGAAAGTCGCGTGCTCGCCCCATGTTTGGAAGTTCGTAATTTACATGGCTTCTATGACCATCTAGAAGAGGGGGAGTAATATTGATTTAAGCAGTTTTTCGATAGTATTAGACATTTTGTGCACTTCCTCCCTTTGTACTCATAGAACTCTGTGCTTATGTCGATAAACGATTTAAGGCTTTGTGCAAGCTACCTCGGTGCCCTATCATGTGTCTGAAGTCAATTCCCATCATTGCGTCTTCCTTCGTCTACCTCTTGTCAGTCTGAAAATCTCAAGTACAATGACTGAGATTTAGCGACTCATCATTTCAGTTTTTAATCCTATCACAGAGCTCGATGGTCTAAATTGTTGCTTATCTCGTCGCCTGCAGAGTGATAGTTTGAACAAGACGGACATCATGCAGTTATGGGAAGAACATAAGAGTAGACAGTAAAGGAAGAACTCCGTCACCTTAAAGCGCCTCTTCGCATTAACAGTTCGATTGTCGACTCCGACGATGTCCACCGTGTGCCACACAGCAAGGTGCAGCAGGCACGGTGACTTGCGCGTGAATTATTTTACAGTAATGGTAGACTTGCGCAGCATCTATCGCACTCTCTTCTCCGCCTGGACCCGGTATCAAGACAGAGTCAAGAAGACCGGAGACAGGGGAGGGCGTGGGTGAATGGCACTGCCGGACCCGCACCTAGGCATGCCATCACACTCGCTGGTCCGCAACTTACACTTGACCAGGATTTTTCACCAGCAATAACAACAAAATCCCAACAGGAGTCAGAAGGACGAGGATGAGGACCGGACAGCCATACCCACCACTTGTATGCCTAGCAGGAGCGCTAGCGCATCTACCGGCAGAAAACCAGTTGTCAGGGCGGTGCCAGCGCATGCCAGGCTTCGAGGGCCATCGTTTGCTAATACTGGCATAGCACACGCTTTCACACCTTATCCCTCTCGCCATTGTAAAGACTGGGTGGAACCCGTTAATTTTCCTTGCCGTTCATGAAGAAGTGGGGTGCCAGTCACTCCTTTGGCAAGCGAGTGGCAACAGCGATGGACACCTATTATCGATAACCTCATCTGTCCCATCCATCCATCCATCCATCCATCATCATCATCATCAGCAGCAGCAGCAGCAGCCGCATTACCATCCTTGGTCTTCTTAACCACAAAAGACTACATGGATGTACCCTCATCTACGTCATTGGTAGTTGCTAGACAACGACCGACTAATTCCCGCAGAAGTCTGAAAGCACGCCGATCCCTAACATTTGGACAGACTGGTCTCGCTGTTCTGGGTGTGGCAACAGAGAAGAGTGCCACAAGACTTCGAAGATGCCGCCATTGTCCCCTCCACGAGCGACAATCACCAGGAAGTCTCTTTTTAAATATTGTCAACAAAATATGAACCCTAGCACTATTCGATCGTATGCATTGACATTTGAAGCAAGGAATTCTTCCTGAGAGTCAGTCTGGTTTCCTATACAACTGCAAAATCGCCGATATGATAATTGAAGCCCGACAACTCTAGGATAAATGTCAAGAAATGACAATAAGCCTTTACACAGCCCATGTAAATCACTCCAAAACCTTCGACACCGTGAACCGATGCGAACCATTGAAGATCATAGAAAAATTTGGGTGCCCTAAAGGGTTCATCCCTATGGTCAGGTACCTTCACGATAGCATGATGGTGCACGTCATGAACAACGGATGAAGCCTGAAAACTTTTACTGAATCGACGGGAGACTATTCGGCATTCCCCGTACACTGGCTGTCACGAATGTCACCAGGGTTTTTTCCATCGGCAGTTGGTAACTGGACACTACCGATGAGGTTGATGTGCAGCCGCGTTTAACCTTTCCTCCTCCGAGGGTGCGAACTTTGGGCTAGCAATCAGTACGAGAAGAACTTCTGTCACACCTTATTCGTCACCAATAAAAAAGTACACGGAACAGTGGCTTATCTTAAATGACAATTTCCTCATCACTGCGGGTTATTTTACCCGTCATGGAGACATCGAAATCGATGACGTATTTCCGAAGTTAACTAGTCCTTCGACAGTCTGGCTTGCAGGCAGCCAGGATGCATATGGAGCCGCCGGGGCTTCCTCCCTAACGTCAAATAAAACAAATTGAACTTCATGGAAAATCCATGCTCTGGGCAAAGAGGAAACGCAAGAGGCATTGAAAGTAAAACTGAACCGCCTGTGGTAATTTTTTTTGGTGAAACTCCAAAGTCTAAAAATGAGAACATACGTGTCGAATTAATAAACTTAGCTTTCAGACTTACTCCTTGTGTGACCTTGCGAACAAATAGTGCGGAATGTGCACAATAGGACGGAAAGACGTTTTTAGTGATCTTTGTCCTCTACAAAGTTGTGCGGTATGCGGTATGGTAACCAGCTGACATCTTGGTGCCAAGCCGAGTCTTTAATAATGACACGCAGGGTTCTGTCGAACTGTTTCCCTTACACGGGGTAGAGATTGTTTTGCCCCACTGCCTTATTGGGAGGTTGAAGAAATGGAACTTCTCCCGTAGTCGCACGTCAAGAGATTAGCCACTAACTGAATAACGGATAAGATCAACAAGCACAATCATGCACTTTTCTGTGTCTGAGCAAGACTTCCTCCAAGAAGTTACTGCCTTCTTTCGGACGACTGTGGGAGCTAACGGGTCCCAAGGCGTCTTTATGGTGTTTGATGCACACTAGTCGACCGCCGCAAATGGCCGCTTATATGCTTTATGTGTATCAACACTGTCAACATGAGACACTTCAAAGGAGTTTTCATCTTATTAGTGTCATCGGAAGTCGTTTCGTCCGTAAATGACGGTTTGGCACGTATTTATGGACTGGCTTAGGCATGGGACGTCATCACCGAGGAAAATTGGTTTCTATAACAAGAGCTTGCTCTGTTATTTCGCAAATAAACGCCCATGTAAAGTGATGGGAAAAGGTTGAGTTTTCTTCGCGAGTGCATTTACTCGACTGGTGCCGGCGCATTCTGTATATCGAACGGAAAATGTTCTTTTTCTGTCTATGGTTAGACCGTTCTTGCCTACCTGTTTAGTTCTAGGTCCTACTACATTTTTGTAAGTGCACTCGAGCGGCCCTATGTACTCTTTCTCTTAATATGCGGCGCAAACGTCTTGACACATGCGTAGAAGTTAAGCGGGCGGAGGCGCGATCGGCCATTTCGCGGTAACTTCTAGAATACTCGCCTGCTTCAAGAGGTTACTAGTGTGCTTTTAGGACACAAAATTGCGCACCCGTTCTCCTTAAAGTAATGTGGTTATTCACATCTTGCCTCGCTGAACTTTCTTAGCCGAATGAATTTGTTTTCACGCTCGCTAGTGCTGTTTTCATGAGTGTTTATCGTTTAGCCTGGTGCTTTCTGCCGTAAAAACAAGCATCAACACACAGATCCGGTTTGCTATTTTTATTAGCACAGGAAAGCACCTGTATTTTCACCAATAATATCCAGTTTCCTTTTAAAAAATTGGATTAACACCACCCTACACGAGAAGAAAGCTCGTTATTGAACACATCCACCTGTCAAATAAAATTAGCAACAGCTGTGATAGCCCCACTGTGAGCTTTTAGATTTCGCTCATGTTTTGTCGGTTGTGCAACCTGCAGTGGCCTTTACTCTCAACTGAGTGGGTCACATTCCACGCCGAAAAATCCCCACCCTGTCATTGAATGATAATCATTACAACAAATCTGTAGCTTTCCGAAAGTTTCATCATCCATAGTTGAAAATACACCTCGTCTACTTATCATCGTGGATGCTCGCTAGGTACCGAGGCGGGACCGCCACATCTCCCCAATTTAAATAGCCGCATCTTTCACATTTAGGACTTTAAGACAAACGAAAGACTGAGCACTGCAAAATGGATAGAACTACAGTAGCCGCGGAAAGTGGGCGTAGCCATCGCACATACCGATTCCGACAGAAAAATGCCGTATTTTGCTTTTCGAACTTTTCCCCAGCCACACCGTTTGTCTGTTATGACCTATATCTAAAGACTTGCGCAGCGCTTGGCTTACCTAAAATTTTTCGAGTCTTTAATAATCCCCACACTGCTTTGTGTAGGTTCCCTCATTACGTAACCTGCTGCATTCGAGGTTTCTTCCACTATTTAAAGCCCAATTGTTTTAGGAAAACCACTGTTCGACGACCGAAATTACGAAACAAGGCACTTTCTCAGTCAGCCAGTCACTGGAATAGCCAGACTAGGAGTCGTATTTGCGTTGTTTTAGGCAGATTTGTTTTGCCCAAATGCCATGTTGTTAAAGGCCATTTTCGAGACTAACGGCAGTACAATCGTCAGTTTTCCTTGCCTGTGTCTTAGTTCAACACCCAAATAAAGCTCGCCATTCTCAACCACAGCTTCCCGTTTCGCAAACAAATTTTTTCATACTTCTTGAATAAATTACCTCTAGTTCCGGGTCAGTTCATGTCTACAGGTGGGTGTAAAGGTCTTCACTGTCGACTTGTTATTCATCCAAGCGAAGATGAATCTAGCAAAAAGATTATATTGTGAAGCAAGTTGGAACAAACCAGCCAGATAGATTTTACGATGACGCGCCTTTGAACAAGTTCTTTTTGATCCCTTAGTGTTGCCACTTTTTTACTGCGTTATGCACTCCAGCTGGTCGACGATATTATTTGTCAATAGAAGCGAAGAGACGAGTCCCAGGAAGTAGTCTTGAAGTCTTCAAGATATTATTTGTGCCTGACCTTTTCTTAGACCCGAAAACCGCATTGTAAGCTGCACCAGTTATATTCCAGCCGCAGCAATATGAATCGTCTGTTGTGTTTAAG